ATATTTGTACATATGTTGCCATCATTACTTTCTAAACATTTACTTTCTATTTGAACCCTAGGTATCAGCTCCTCTTTTACACGCCCACCCCCACCCCACCCCTGTGTGATCCCTTGATAAATTATAAATTATTATTATTTTCATATTTTTTACTGATTGCTGTCTCCTTTCCCGTGAGGAGGTTCTCCGCCCACCCCCCACCTTCCCCTCATGGTATCGCTATTCCCATTTCTGTGCATGAGGTGTTTCTATAACCTGGATTCCATGTGTCCTGAGCTCTTATCTGTACCTGTATACATGCTCCGGCCTAGCCCACAGTGAAAGGCAGGATTGGTGTCATGATAGTGTGGGGTGAGGAATCCTCAAGGAACCAGAGGAATATTGTGTGCTTCATTGATGCTTTACTTCACCCTGGTTGACTCGTCCCTTCCTTGTGTCCCTTCTGTGAGGTGATATCCCATTGTCACAAATGGGTCCAAATACAAGTGACTAAAAACCATAATCTCATGAGTTCTAACAATCTATTAGACCAGTAAGCCTAGTCTTGTTAAAGTTTCAGTTTTATTCTACATTTTTCTCATGAACTGTCTAGCCCCACCTATAGTGATCCCTTTCAGATCAGTCAGTAGTGGTCGCTGATCACAGGCTTCTGTGTTGTGGAGGCTAGGCTTCATGTGGCCTTTTAGTTCTTTTAATGTCTTTGACTTTTGTCATTCATCTTTGCTCCAAATAGGGAGAGACTAAAAGTTGTACCTTAGATGGCTGCTTACAAGCTTTTATGCAATAAAGTAGAATATAAAATTGTAGACTATGGCAAAGGAAATGTATCCCTTTAAAAGTGATGTTCAAAATTATACATCACTCACTTTTTAATATACTGTAAAATGTTGAATGTGTGTATTGTGAACTTTTGCTTCATAGCTCAACCATATCACTTTTATTTGAGTATTGAGATGGTGTGTAGTAGGAAACTGTACTCTTTGCCCCCATTGTTACTCTAATACCCTAATAATAAGCAAGACCCAAAGAGGATTGATAGGCTTATATATTAATTGTACTGTATGACATTTAAAAAGAACAGTACATAGTGTATAGTGAATAAATGAATGACTGAAAAATAAATTATATTCATCAATGGGTTTTCATATGTACAGGGAGTAGTTAATTCATTTTACTCTTAGAAATCTTAAGTTACAAGCTGGTCTTCATAGTAAACATTCACCAAGTAGACATTTCGATAAAAAGAAAAATACATTAATTTTTTAATAAGGAAATACTAAAAACTTGAATCTAGGGTATTATCTACCATGGTACTATTGCTATGATGATGAATTTTTCTAGTAATTTTCATCTTTGGTAGAAAGATTTTGAAAAGAATTTTATGTAAAAATTTTTACCATTAGATATTCTCTTCACCCTCTGTTTAATTGTGGGAGGGGATTTAGGATGATTATTTTTAGAAACAAATTTCTTTTCTATTCATTTGGTTACATACATTAACCGACCATTCTTTTACAACTTGAACAGGAAACCGTTTTTTTATTGTTTCATATTGAGAGTACTGCCAAGAAACCAATTATCACACTTGATGAATCCCAATAAGATATAAATCTTAAAAATGAATTCGAGAGACTAAATATTTTTTAATTAGAAAACAATAGAAAGCAACTTAGTTTTGTTTTTTTTTATCATTCTATTGGGGGCTTGTACAACTCTTATCACAATCCATACATGCATCCATTGTGTCAAGCACATTTGTACATTTGTTGCCTCATCATTTCAAAACATTTCTTTCTACTTGAGCCCTTAGTATCAGCTCCTCATTTCCCCCCTCTCCCTCATGAACCCTTGATAATTTATAAATTATCATTTCTCCATGTCTTACACTGACCGATATCTCCCTTCACTCACTTTTATGTTCTCCCCGCACCTTCCCCTTCCCCTCCTGGTATTGCTACTCTCCATGTCAGTCCTGAGGGGTTTATTTGTCTTGGATTCCCTGTGTTTTCAGCACTTATCTGTACCTGTGTGCATGCGCTGGTCTAGCTGGATTTGTGTGGTAGACTTGGGGTCATGATAATGGGGGGAAGGAAGCATTAAAGAACTAGAAAGTTGTATGTTTCACCAGTGCTATACTACACCCTGACTGGCTCGTCTCTTCCTTCTGTAAGGGCATGTCCATTTGTCTACAGATGGGCTTTGGGTCTGCACTCCCCTTCATTCACAATGATATGATTTTTTGTTCTGGGTCTTTGATGCCTAATACATGATCCTATCTACACCTCATGATCATACAGGCTGGTGTGCTTCTTCCATGTGCACTTTGCTGCTTCTCAGCTAGATGACTGCTTATTTATCTTCAAGCCTTTATGACCTCAGACACTACATCTTTTGATAGCTGGGTACCATCAGCTTTTTTCACATTTATGCATGCATGCATTTTGTCTTCAACGATCATGCTAGGAAGGTGAGCATCACGGAATGCCAGATTATTAGAACAAGGTGTTCTTGTGTTGAGGGAGTACTTGAGTAAATACCCAATGTCCATCTGCTACCTTAATACTTAACATAAAAATATATGTATATAGATCTATTTCCCTATTGTCATATATTAATATATTTACATATGTACATGCCTGTATTTAGACCTTTATAAATTCCCTCTGCCCCCTAGTTCTTTCCTCTATTTCCTTTTACTTTTCCTCTTGTCCCACTATCATATTCAACCTTCATTCGGGTTTCAGTAATTCCTTTTGGTGACATTTCCCTTGATCAAGCCTATCAGGCATCCTAAGCTGTCCTCACCATCAATTTTAGATCCCCGTTGTACCCTTGTCCCTGGGTTTGTTAGCACCCACTTCCTTTTCCCCGCCTCCCCCTCTTCCAGGTCCCCCTGGAACCATTGGTCCTGTTGTTTACTCCTCCGAATTGTTTGTCCTGCTTATCCTATCTAGACAGACATGCAGTGACAATATGAAGCACAAAAACAACACTGAGCAAACAAACAAACAATAACAACAAAAACAACCCAAAGACAAAAAAAGGAAAGCCTATAAGTAGTTCCAGGTCTATTTGTTGACCTTTAGGAGTGTTTACCAGTGAAGTCTTATGAGGTACCACACTCTGGCCCCACATCCTACTTTTGGTATTCCCTGGGGACTTCATTGCTTTGCTTCCCATGCTGCTCTGTTTCATGCTCTTAGTGTTTTTGCTCTGGAGTGGTGGGGTCAGATCGGGCATAATTCCCTCACTGTGCCCCCACTGTTGTCTCTCGAAGCACTATGGGTCAATGAGGGATGCCGTGTCTCGTGGTGGGGCCGGTCCTGTGGTCCTCTCTGTACACTGGCTGCTCTGAGCAGGAATATCGACCATCCTCACGGCTTGGTGGACCAGGGTGTGCTCCACACTCTCCCCTTCCCTCTTCGTTTGTTCCTGTGTGCTCTGATCAGAAGCACCCCTCTCCCTGAGCTGGAGATTGAGTGCTGTCCACTCAAGTGAATCCTTCTTGGGTGGGGGTGGTATTGTCCACGTAGTTGGGATTGGGGCCTGCCCTGCAGACCTCTCTATTGGTTCCCTGCTTCATGCCAGTATGTTGTATTCATGTCTTGGCACACCGAGTTCACTGGTCCCTCTCTCCTCCTGTGGAGATATAAACAACACCCTCCGCTTGGGTGGGTTAGTGCTCTGTTCCCTCACTACTCATGTCGTGGGTCCCTCTCCTCCTTTTTAGATCAACTTAGTTAAGTATTGCCTGTTTTTCCTAGAAAACTTCTTTAGCAAATGGATTCTCTAACAACTTATTTTAAACAATGTTTTTCTGACCTTTGGAGAAATGTGTATCATTTGAACTCTTCACTGTCTCAATAGTAGACACTGTTCTTTTGCTCCCTGAACAACAGAAAGTTTAATCTTTATTTACATTTGCACTGTCTGGTAGCGTAAAACTTTCTATCATGTTCGTGTCAATACTTTTAATTTGTAAATGCATTATATCTCTTCGATAGTTTTTGTTGAAACACAAGAATGAATAGTAATAATGTCCTTGAGTTGCTTGCTCCTTCTGCCAAATTCTTTCTTTTCTACACAAGAATTTATGCTTATTGCAAACAAAAAAATAGCAAAAGGAAAGGACAGAAATGCTTCCTTCTACCAAATTCTTAGATCTGAGATTTATAAAAAATTTTTACATTCTGTGTACAATTTTCTGTTAACTAGCAAATGTGAACCAGTTTTCCTCAAGAGCTCTCATATGGTGATTGAATTTTCTATTTTTACCTTATTTCTTTCACACGCTGCTTGAATTGCAATGCTTCAAACAAACCACATGTTTTATCTTTAACCATTCTTTTATTATTTTTAAACTATCCATCTCCTTGTAAGGATCATACATCAGGACTTTTATTTTATGTCATCCTAAAAGTAATGTCTCAATATGATGTTGAAGATTGGTAAGTGTTACTTCTAGAACATCACCTGTATATTTACGTCATGCTTGTATCCTCATTTACGTTTATGCTCCTGGAAGCTCTGCTTGTATTCATAGATAATTTCATGTATCTCATCCTGATGACTTGATAAGGATATTCATGCTTTTTCAGTCATTCTCTATATTTACATTGAACATGAATCTTTTATCTTCATTTGATTTCAGTGCCTCTGTACTTTGATTTCTAGATCCTACTTGGAAAAGATAATAGTCTAACCACGCAAGGTTCATCTCTTTAACTACTTTACTATCCCTTTGCCATTGCTTCTGCTTAACTTTAACATGCTGCTGGTAATTGAATACTGCATAGGCTTCATCAGATTCACATTAAGCATACTGTTTATAATCTATATTCTTTTAGGTGACTTTCATTCTCAGATATAAATGTCATTGTTTTTCATCCATATTGATCTGCCATTTGATTCTCATGGAGTAGTACAAATGGTCTTTACTGGACTTCCTGAAGTCTTGGAAGCTTCCAAATATTTTGAATTTTCTCTTATTTTCTCATTAGGGTGCAGCACAGATTCCAAGCAAGTTGAGGAACAACCTGCAGCTGCAAATGAAGACGTACTCTTTCCTTTCTGTAGGGAACCAAGTTACTTTGAGATCCCTACTAAAGAATTCCAGCAACCATCACAAATAACAGAGAGCACTATTCATGAAATCCCAACAAAAGACACACCAAGTCCCCATACAACAGGTGCAGGGCATGCGTCATTTACCATTGAATTTGATGACAGTACCCCAGGAAAGGTAACTATTAGAGACCATGTGACAAAGTTTACTTCTGATCAGCGCCACAAATCAAAGAAGTCCTCTCCTGGAACTCAAGACCTACTGGGAATTCAAACAGGAATGATGGCACCAGAAAACAAAGTAGCTGACTGGCTAGCACAGAACAACCCTCCTCAAATGATGTGGGAAAGAACAGAAGTGGATTCCAAAAGTATTAAAAGTGATGTTCCAGTTTACTTGAAAAGGTTGAAAGGTAAAGTGAATTGATCATTTGAGAATTTCCTGTTTTATGCTAAAGAACATTCACTCTTCACAGTTACCAAACTATTTGATAGAAAACTTCTGCTTAGTCAAAATTATTAAATTTTTAAAAATTCAAGCTGCACTATCTGTGCCCAACTTACCCATTCAAAGTAGTCTCTATTTTCTTGCCAAAATCAGATTGGTTATGTGAATTTGTATTTGTAGCATTAAATGTATTTAATTTTTCTGTAGAAATGTAAGATCTATGTAGTTCACTTGTGGAATTCCCTACATAATAATTCCATAATTATTTTCATTTTAAGGATAAGAAATTTCTATCCTTCTCAGGATGCTTTGAACAAAATGTCAGTATCTAGAGTTTGAATAAAATATTAAGCCTTTTGATATGGACCCAAATTTCCACAATGGTAATATTGTTAATAAGTGTCTTAAGCTGTTCTCATACACTATAACGATTTCTGGTTTAATGATACTTACTAAGAATTTATTGATCTGATTAATTTTTGTTGGTGTGAACATCAAAATTGTTTCTTTTGTGAAATAATTTAACGCTTGGCCAAAGTAAGTAAAATCTTTGTACCTGTACAATGAGATATTATTAGCTGATCACTTTCCCCCCATTTTTTCACCAATTAGATATGTTTTAGAATTGACTGCAGATTTATTTTGCTCTTTCTTTTAAAAAACTGGGAAAAAAAATTATTTGGAGCAAATTGTGTTTTCGTGTTAATCTGTGATACCAGGGTTTAAAATAAATATTCTCTGAGGTCATGCCATTACTCATCTGATAGCCCTAACACCTACCTCACTTGGGACTTTTGTATATACCTCATATGGTACATATTAAATAATTTGAAAAATAATGAATAACTTCATTATCAATGACAAGATGAACCCTGGCTTCCCCAGGAAAATGGTATTCCGATGCTTATTCCTGGTCTACTTTTAAGGTACCATACAGACTCGAGTATAAGCTGACTCGGATATCAGCTGAGGCAATTTTACCACAAAACCACATAAAATGTGCTGAAAAGCTCAGCTTATGGAAGAGTATGTATGGTGTTTCATGAGAGTGAGAGAGTTGAGTACCTAATTCTTTGCTGGAGCCTTTGCTATATTCAAAATGTTAATTGGCATATGAGTATTAGAGAGACATGGCCATCCGCTTCCACAAAGATTATAGCCCAGAAAAGCCTGGTTTCTGTCGGTCAAATGAAGTCACTGAATTGAAACAGGTTGAAAGCATACAGCAACAATAAATGATCTTTTACTAGACAATATTAAACACATAATTGAGACCTATAAATGTGTGTACAGGTAAAAGTACACATATAAGGATAATGGATTATAAACTGGCCAAAAGTTTCTAGAGATTTAATACATATAATAACTTATATCCTAGTATAATAAATGAGACTGTGACTCTTCAAAAATTTAGAAATAATTCAGTTGTCTTTTTTAAATCACCCTCCCTGGACCAAAAAAGAATGAGTGATAAAAGGTCCTTTAAAAAAATACTTTCAGTAAACCATTTTATATTACCGTAAGTCTTCTAGTTACAAAATATGTGCCAGATAATTCTTACTGTGACTTGTCATTTAATGTTATGTATATATTGCCATCACTTTGAAATTATTGAACCTACTCATAACATATTATTCATTATGTAATGTCCTATGTGGGCAGCCTTTAAATCATTGAGAAGACTTCTGAACAATTTTTAACACTAAACCACAGACACGCATTTGAAAAAAAAATCTCACTGCCACAAAGTCAGTTCTGACCCATAGTGACTTTATAGGACAGGCTATAAAGATAATAAGGAACTGATATTGTTCATACCAGGGACTGCCTGTGTAACTGTTTTTCGCTCATTGTAGCTACAGTGAAACGTGAGCACCAAAACTCGATGAGCCCGCCACTTTTCCCCAGATCGCATGATTTTCCCAGCTTTGACAGAGTGCAGTTTGCCAGTTTTCTATTTTCACGATTAGTACGAAATACAGGGAAACGTTTAAGAGTTGATACTTGATGCAACTGCCTTGCTTTTCTGGGTCTTTAAAGTTTTCCACCTTTTATAGGGTGAAGGCTTACTTACCACTTTTCTATTGACTTTTAGTGGAAAATATTTTAGTTTTCTTTCTCTGACTGATTCTACCTTATTACAGGTTCTAGCTTGTGTTAAGTTTTCTTATATTTTCCATGAGCCATTTTTTAAAAAATGATTTGTATTATGTTCTTTGTTCTCAAGCCCCATACATGAATCAGCCTGATTCTAAATAGAGGTCTTAGTGCCCCCGTACACACTGTGGTGTGTGGATAGATTAGATGGATGGATGGATGGATGGATGGATGGATGGATGGATGGATGGATGGATGGATGAATGGATGGATAGATAAATTTAAAAGCCCTTACCAGAAATAGGTAAGCAAATTAATATTCTTCAGAGTTGATTTATCGGTACTCGTATATTCCACTATATTCCCATTGCTTAAATTTGGTTTAGTACCTTCCTTTTGAATTTGTTTTCAGAACTTTTTACGAACCATCTAAAGAATAACTGTATGAATACAACTCAATTTTGTTCCAAGATAGATCCATTTTACTTCTGCAGACATTTGTACAAGAAATATTTGACTTTTTCTAGAAGTCAGATTTGCCACCAATAGATGGAGATGTTCCACAATTTAGGATATTAAAAGTATAAAGCACATTTTAACTCTAAAAAGTTGTAATATAGTAAACAATAACCATTTTACAAGATTAAAAATTTAGTCACCATTTAGATCAGTAAATTACTTGAAAGTAGGTAAAACTAAAGCAAAAAACTTTGCTCCTACAAGAGTGAAGTGCACGCGCTTTGGGACAGTGAGGAAAATAATGTTCACAAAGCCCATACACTTTGACCCTTTAGGAGAGTTGCAGCTTCTTTTGGGTACAGCTACTGACATGGGTTGCCCGGAGTCAGGAATCAACTCAGTGCTAACTAATAGCAACAGTAACATTGATTTGGAACAGCTAAAATAACTTCACCCTGGTTCATGATAGAACAAAACCTGAAAGAAACTTCATGACGCGAGTTTTCTAGACAACTTTTCGTTGAATAAGACCAGAAAATTGCAGTTTTCATTAGCCGTTTTACTTTGTGTAATATTGAGAAATGCAAGAAGGAATAATCTAACAAGATTTAAATGATTAATAGGAATGATCCTGAGAGTCCATCGTCACAAAAAGGGCAAATTGTATATGTTGGTCTTAGAGTTTAATTCTATAAAGATGGTATTTTAATTTAAAAGTTTGCTTATATGTATAATCCTTATGTAAGATGATAAAAATTTACTTTCAGATGTCCTAAGAGGAGCTTCGGAAAGTTCGTGGAGAAATTCCACTATTAATTCCATTTTTCCATGAACCTTTTGAAGCCTCTTCATGTGAGGATCCTTGTGGCAAAGTGGGTTAAGCAGTAGGCTGCTAACTGCTAAGTCAGTAGTTCAAAAGCACCAATCTCAGCAGGATAAAGATATGAGACTTGCTGCGCCCTTAAAGAGCTATAGTCTCAGAAACATACATGGACAGTTCTACTCTGTCCTATAAGACAGTGAATTCTAAGTTCCTCTATCTCACTATTGTTTAAAAAAACTGGATTAATTTTAGTTTTTATTCACTGGATACCTTTCCAATTTATCTAATAAAATAATGAAATTGGTTATAAGATAAAGTGTTTGAAATTGTTTCTAGGTTAATTTTCTGAGGTGCCGAGATTCCATTTATTAGATGTGTTTTCTTTTCTGATTGTGTTTTAAGAAAGATTGTGAGATTTGTTGTCACACTTGATTTTTAGCGTATGAATCACTGAGTCTCTGAGGAGTACTTTACCGCTTCTTCATTTCAGGTTTACTGCCTGTGTTCTCTTCTTGCATATTAATTTTCCAAATGCCGCCCTTTTCTGTGTACTGTACCATCCTCTCTTCTGAGTCTGTTTGCCCTTTTACATATGTTTTCCATCCTTTGCTTTGTTCTAGCTACTTAGCCCCAGTTGGTAAGCCCTAAATGCATTGTAGACAAACCCATAAGCAGCCAGGGAAAACTCTTCGCTTTAGCCTCCTCAGACCTTAAGTCTTTGGGCTCAGTAATCACCATGTTCAGTGCCATAATGTTCAGCAGGTGTACACAATAAAACTTGTAGCCCGGAAAATCTGAGAACCAGATTTAGGCTGAGAGCCATGAGAATATAACCAATGGCTAGATTCATTTGCAATTTATGAAGAAGCCATAAGTTTAAGCTCTGGCTTGTGTATGATCTAAAGCATGAACAGACTAACTTTTGACATTGTACTAATTTCATACTGTAATATAATAGTCATCATTTGATTTTGTCTCGTAATGTACTTTAGTAATGTGAATTTCTAAATCAGTGAAAAAACAAGTAAATTTCACAAAGCTTCACATCTATTCAGTAACAAAGCTATAAGTAACTGCTTAAATGGTTTCTACTGACACTGAAAAAGCCTTGGTTAAGAAGCTAGTATTTCAAAACAAGTATGTTCTCACTTGGCTGTACTTTACAGAGAAGAAAGTAGATTTTTAAATATGGTTTTATTTAACATTGTGACATTTGCTCAGTAAGTACTTAAATTTATATAGTTATTGAATAGATTGCGCTTTTCTTCAATAGGCCTTTGGTAGCAGACTTTATTTTTCTCTGAAATTATCAGTTTTGAGCACAAAATTGCAAGTTTTTCAAAAGTCATGGCTACAAAGGCATTTTTGGGGGCAATGCAGTAGTAAGTTAATAGTTGAAAGTTTTATTAAAGATGAAATAAATGTAACCTTGGAAGTATTGAACATTATGAAAATGTTAGAGCCATCTTGCACTCGTTATTAACGCGCCCGTTTCCTCTCATTCTTCCCTGCCACAACCCTAAGAAAGTATGGAACCACTTACCGTCTTCTTTTTTATTTTTCAAAACCATTTTATGGGGAGCTAATACAGCTATCCTATTATTCTATTGTTCAGTCACATCAAACAGTATTTTATAATTGCTACCACAATCAGTTTCAAAATATTTTCTTCCTTTTTGAACTCCGTGACATCAGCTTCCCTTTACACAGCGCCTCCCTACCCCAACATATGCACTTTATCCTTTAAAGAACATTATTGTACTTGTTATCTCTGTAATGGTCATCAATCTTGGGTTTCATATACTAAAAAATAGAAAAGCATAGAACAAAAATTAAAGAGGATTACTCCCAATAGCAAAAATACATCCGAGACAAACCCCAATATGAATAAACAAGAAAATACAGAAAATGTTGAAACCCAGATCAGGGCCAATAACAGTTCACGTCAGGCTTATCATTTAGATCTCCTGTAGTAATCTCTCCAGTGCACTATTTGGTAACCACTTTCCATCTGTCTGTTACGGATAAAGGAAAATCACCAGCGGATTATTTCTGATGTAGATCTCATAAGTGTATCTTGGGCTTCCACGATCATTCACAGCCTTCTCCAAACCAGAATCGCACAACGTAGCCTCTGATACTATTTCCTACTTCAGCTTCAAATTATGTGATTAACAATCTTTGGGTCGCTGATGTTTGTGTGCTTTTTCCATGTGGACTTAGTTGACATCTCACTTAAATGGCTGCTTTTTGGGAACCAAGCCTTTAATTAAGACTTCGGATGCTGTTTTCTCTGATGGCCGGGCACTTTGCAATAGCGCTCATATCTTCTGTGTTCATATCGAGCATGGCCAAGGTGGAAGAACTCGTTGTTCTTAAATTGGAGCTAGGATATAGTGTGAGGCCCAAACCCATTCCTGGATCTGTTTGTCATCTGCCTTTGGCTTCCTTTAGAGACCTGCTTGTTAATAATATGGTAGAGAGTCTTATCGATCATCTCCCCGGGGCAAAAACTCTTCTATTAGTATTGTCATTGATTAGCCCCCGTACTAATTTTTGAAAGCACTGTTGAGAGAGAGATATTAGGCCAATGTAGGCAAACTCTAGATCGCAAAACCTGAATTACTCACTTGTACAGAATCAGTCCTGTCATAGCTGAATGGTATTTAACCAAACAATGAGCGTTGGTGATCAAGGAAAATTCACAATAGTATTCACTGAAAATGTCAGTCAAAGGTTTGCCAGAATAATAGACTTCTTAATTCAGCCTATTGGGCATTGATGTAGTAAGTCAGTGATTGTCCACCTTCCAACAGTTCAGTGTTCTTGGTATAGCTGTCTTCTGCTTCTTCAGACACCATACATTTTCAGTCTTTAACTCCTGAGGTTACAGGTATGTTTGAGGTAGAATCCAGTTCACCTTGTGGAGTTTTCTTATCAGACCCCTCTGGTGCAAATTTTGGAACATGTGCACCTTAAAGATCCAGGATTCAATGCTGCCATGTTCTATGGAACTTGGCCAGGGTCCCCAGGATATGCCCAGAAACTCTGGCCAGTGTGACTTACTGCATGCATATTACCAGGTATACTACCCCCCCCCCCCCCGCTTGGCGTTTAGGGTATAATAAAAGTGTTTTTAGTAGTTTTTCCCTTAGTACTTCTACTTTTCCTACCAACCATCATGCACTTGTGTTCCCCCAAGACAGGCCTACTACCTTTCTCCTCTTCTAACACCTTTCCCATCAGTATCCCCCATCCCTTTGATAGGTGTGTCAGGGAGGACCTCCTCATAGCATAGCAGCCATTCAGGAGTGAGGAGCCCTCTGCCAAAGTGACCTTCAAGATACATACCTAGAGAGGATGGTGTGTAACGGTTCCTTGGAACCAGTCAGGCTCTCTACCAGACTGTCCACCCTGGCCAGCAGCCTGGGTGCCCTCCAAGTCTGAAATTTTCCCTTCCTGCTGCTTGTTCCTAGAGCAGTGTATGTCCATTTGTGGTTGACTAACTTCATTCACCATGACGTTTTCCAGATCCCTCCATGTCATGAGGTGTTCCATGGTCTCATCGCTGTTTTTAAGGGATGTGTAGTACTGTATTCCATTGTGTATATATACTAGTTTTTTTATCCAGTCTTCTACTGATGGGAATTTAGGCCGTTTCTAACTTCTTGCTATTGTGAACTGTGCTTCAGTGAACATGGGGAGCATACCTCTATTCATGATGTGTTTTTTATTTCTTTGGGTTTATATGCCCATTGATGGTATTACTGGATCATATGGTATTTCTATTGCTATATGTTTTAGGAATAGCCATATTGCTTTCCACAGTGGTTGTATTTACAAGCCTATCAGCAATGTATAAGGGTTCGAATCTCTCCACTTGCTCTCCGGTATTTGTTTTCCATTTTTTAAATTGGACTACAGTTTTGGGTATTACATGTTATCTCATGTTTTTTTTGACTTGCATTTCCCAGAAGGCTGGTGAGCAAGAGCATTTCCTCATGTGTTTATTAGCCTTTCAGATGTCATCCTTTTGAATCATCTGTTCAGGTCCTTTGCCCACCTCCTCTGTGTTACTTGTTTTTTTCTTATTTTAGGCTTGTAGTACTATACTGTAGATTTTAGTGATTAGTCCTTTGTTCACTATGTCACTGCTAATTATCTTTTCCCAGTTTGTAGGCTCTCAGTTTACTTTCTTAATGAAATCTTTCAATTTACACAAGTGTTTTATTTTTAATAGGTCCCAGTCATCTAATTTGTCTTCCACGGTGTCTGCTTCTTTTGTTATATCTTGTAGCCTGTGTATGCTTTGTAATGTATTGGGGCACTTAGAATTTGCTCCAGTTTTCTCATTGCTGATCCTGATAGGTTTGGGTTTTACATTTAGGTATTTGATCTACATTGATTTTGTTTTGTGCGTGGGGGAAGATAGGGGTCTTTTAAAATTCTTCTGCAGATGGATATCCAATTTTTCCAGAACCATTTATTAAAGATGGCTTCCCTTTCCTATTTAATGCTTTGTCAAAAATCTGTTGTCTGTATGTGGATGTTTTTATTTCTGGGTTTTCTGCCCTGATCCATTGGTCTATGTATCTGTCGTTATACCAGTACCAAGCTGTTTTGAAAACTGTGGCCGTGTCATAGGTTTTGATGTCAGGTAGTGTAAGACCACCTACTTTGTTCTTATTTTGAAGAATTATTTGCCTATCCTAGGCAGTCTATCTTCTATAGATTTTACTAATAGTATTCCATACTAACTATTATAGATGATATAACATTGTTTTTCTGTAAGGCATTGGTGAACTCATTATGAAGTTAAAATTTAATGAAAGACCAACCCATACCTGTCTAGTTGATTCTAGCTGATTGCAGAGTACAACTGTTTCCTGAGGCTGTAAATCGTAATGGAAACAGGCTACCTCATCTTTCTCCTATGAAGCAGCTGGTGGATTTGACCTGCTGACCTCAGTTTGCAACCCAACACCTAACCCTCTGTGCTACTAGGGCTCTTTGAAAGATAGACTATTCAGTTTTATATAAAGGACCTCATTGTTGGTGGATAAAATTTGAATGTAAGCATTACAATTGAGGGAAGTTTGCAGAGCCTGTTAATGAAAATAACGTGACTCTAGATTGAAAAGAGAGAAGGGCAAAGCAAGTAGCACTTGTGTATATGTGTCTGATTTTCTACATGGGATGTTTTTCCTTTTTCTATTATTTGGTTTCTTTTTGTATCTAGGAAATAAACATGACGATGGCACACAAAGTGATTCAGAGAATGCTGGAGTCCACAGGCGCTGCAGCAAACGAGCAACTCTTGAGGAGCACTTAAGGCGCCACCACTCAGAACAGAAAAAGCTGCATAAGACACTGGCTCCTGAAAAGCATCCAGACCAAACTGTTGTAAGTCAAACTGCTTTTATGATTGCATTCTTTGATGAAGATAATCCCAGAAAAAGACGGTCATATTCCTTTACTCAAAGTGCGAGAATCTTGTGTCAGGAAACTACTTACTCAGCACCACATACAAAACTTGAAAAAGCAAACTCTCCAACAGCAGATGCCAAAGTGGTTTCTTTGTCTTTACAGACTAGCTCTTCGCATCAGAGAGGGGGGCATGGTGTTCCACATGGGACATTGTTAAAACAGAAATCAGAGGAGCCATCGGTGTCAATATCCTTCCTACAAACTGCATTATTAAGAAGTTCAGGGAGTCTTGGGCACAGACCAAGCCAGGAGATGGATAAAATGTTAAAAAACCAAGCTACTTCTGCTACTTCTGAAAAGGATAATGATGATGACCAAAGTGACAAGGGTACTTATACCATTGAGTTAGAGAATCCCAACAGTGAGGAGGTGGAAGCAAGAAAAATGATTGACAAGGTAAATACTTGAAATTTGGGCATGTTCTTAGTGTTCATATGACATTTGACAGTTGGAAATTATCGGAGAGTCACATGAAGTGTCTTGATGTAGTCTATAATATTGGATCTGTAGGGTTTTGCTAGATAATAGCAAAACGAACAAGACCAATTACTTTGGATTTTATTTTGTTTATATTCCAAATTTTCATGAGTTTCAAATGTAAAATGCTGTACATTTGAACTGGTTAGATAATTTAAAGTTGTGTAAATTTAAGATAGAATTTATAAATAGATGCTTTATTGGGACTTTCTTGCTTTTCACTTATTAAGCTCTTAAAAACTTACCAAAATATCAGATTGCTGACTTTATTATAAACATAAATGTTAGGTGTTAATATTGAACTACAGGTTTCCTGCCTTCAAATTCCATATTGGAAGCAGATGAAATTGCGTATGCTTAAATTAATTTTGTTCTTTGATGCTTTTCTCTTAATTTCCATTCACCATTGTCTTTGGTGAAGAGAAAAGAAATGAATGAAGAAAACAGAACCAGTTTGATACTTTCAGTTTAGCTACATATTTGCCTAGCAATAATAATAATTACTTATATTTCAGATTTGTTCTTTGGTATTTTGGGTCTGTGAGTATGATAGTTGTTGTTTTATCTAAAAATAGTTTCCACTAATTTTGCCCATGAAAATAGAAAGTTGATTTCAGAATCCTAGAATCCTTTGAAATCAGCTATTTACCTGTTCTGCCATTGGCTTGGAACTAGCAAATGTAAGTTTGACTCAATATTAGTCTGTTAAGTTCTTTTATTTAAAAATATTGTGTTGTATTCTGCATTAAAAATAAAATGTCTAGTGATTTGTTTACATAAATTTGGAGATACCCTCGTTTAGGTTATGTGTTTCTAGAGTGGTCACTCAGAAACCAGCCAAGAAAATAATTTAGGATACAGGGAAAAAAGTAGGTCTTAGATTTGCTTTTCATGTCAATTTTGTACTGCATTAATATGTACATTTAATTTCTAAACATACATTTATTGAGCAGTGCATACTTAAAACATTTTACTATTGTGGACGCAAATGACTCAAAACATTTGGGAAACCCATTAAATCTAGGAATGGATGTCATTTAACAAATGTTAATATAACTTACTGCTATTGAGTCAATTCTGACTCATGGCAACCTCCTAGGGCAGAGTAGAACTACCCCTGTGGATTTCTAAGGCTGTGACTCTTTATGGGAGTAGAAAGCCTTGTCTTTCTCTTGCGAAGCAGCTGTTAGTTTCGAACTGCTGAACTTGTAGTTAGCAGACCAGTATGTAACCGCTATGCCACCAAGGATCCAAGATTACTATAGTGGTTAGTACAAATGAAATACAGGATTTGATAAATATTAAATGAACGAAGGAAACATCTGTTTATATTAAAGAAACTCTAATAAGATGTACTCGCTTCAGCAGCACATCTACTAGAAAGTCTAATAAGATCACACTGTTAACATGGAAAATGATCCTTCATGATTTTGCATGATCTGTGTATCATCAGTTGTTCATGGTATATTAAATTAACTTTAAAATCCCTAATTTTCACTCATTGGTTATTAATAATGAATATTTTGCTATTTTAAATTCTCTCAGCTGGCAATAAAAGGTTTGGGTTTTTTTAAGGATATGGTGAGAAGCCTTACAATTTAGATTAGTATTAATTTTTAAAATAGTTTTACTGGCATATAATGAACACATCATACAATTTAATCATTTGGTCATATTAAGGTGAGTTGTGCAGTCATTACCCAAGTCTGTTTTAGAACATTTTCTTCTCATACTTAACTGTTGTTAGCTCCCCATACCCCAGATAACCTCTCTTAGATTAATTTTATTTGAATTTCTATGCCCTCGTTTGGCTTATGGCTATTTCATTCATAATGACTGGTATAATTCCTATTCAAAGTTTCTTTTCCAATGAAAGATTATGTTTTAGTGTTTGTGGACATGGACTTTTGCAAACAAATCAATTTGAAGTAAAATATAAACTCTGTATAAATTAAGAGTGTGCCCTTGGGTTAATCTGCTTAAGTCTCAGCGTTTTTGCCTGTACAATTGGGAAAATTTTCACTAAAGTTATTAAAAGAATTCTGTAAGACATGTAGAGCTTATCACAATGCCTGCTTTATAATACAGTTATATAGCATTTATAAATGTTAGCTATGGTGATTATTATATACTGACAGGTCCTTAAAAGTGCTATTAAAACTGAGTGAAATATGAAGCCCAAATCACAGTGCAAAGGCCCAGCCCGGCCAGGACAGCAGAAAGCCAAAACAAGTTATGATAGAGAAGACTCTTTTGGAAAGTCCTGGATAGACAAGATGACCACAAAATCTGTTTCATGCCGTATCTGAATTGTAGTTATTAAAAGCATCCCTTTTATTCTCAAGCAGTCTTTAGTTTGATGACATATTACATGGCCACACTATGGATAAAGGAAACCCATTATTTTATAGAATTTATTTACGTAATAGCAGCTTGTGATTGGATAGGTAGTAGTTGATTCTTAGTTTCAGTAAACTAGAAAACAGATTTAGACTATAAATGTAGGAAAAGCCTGCATTATTACATTGTCTTGTGAATACCAAAGAAAGATAGCTGAGATATCCACTACCTGTTGTTAAAAAAAGAAAGACCAAATTCCCCAGGCTCTGGGAAAACAAAATCCGGAGACACAGGAACCAATTGTCAGAAGAAAGTGAAGTAATCTGTGGTTGTAGAGAAAATAAAGGCCAAGAATGGTCTGAATTAGGCATAAGAAGCTGATAAAAGTGTCATATCGAATTGCTTGGCTGAGTTCTCATCCATTTCCCCCCTTTCAAGTTTGGGTATGTTGGGTGGGATTGGGGCCATCAGCTGTTGTCCATTTGAATTTAAATGTTCTTTGGTACTAAAAATTTGCCTGTGATCTTATTATTCTTTGTTTTTTCACTCCATCATTTGATAGTTAGTTTATTTTCTGGACTCATTCATTAAATAACTTTGATTCATTATCAACTATGTGCCAGGCTTTGAGCTAAGACTTGTTGTGCCTTTGAGTTGATTCTTTTTCATGTTGACTCCATGTGACAGTAGAATTGTTCCATTGAGTTTTCTAAGATATAATTTTAGAACAATATTAAAATTATCATGGACTGCCAGAAGAACAAACAAATCTGTCTTAGAAGTTTAGTCAAAATGTTCCTTAGGAGCAAGGATGCTGAGACTTGTTCTCATTCACTTTGAGTATTTTATCAGGCAATAACAATCCCTAATGAAGGATATTAGGCTAAGTTTTCGAAAAAGATAAAGACACTTAGTATGATGGACTAACACGGTGACAGCAACAATGGGCTTCAAACATAGCAGTTGTGAGGACGGCACAGAACTTGGGCAGTGTTGTTGTTGTTGGTGGTGGTGGTGGTGTTCTGTTGTATTAGGGCCTCTGTGGGTTGAAACCAGCTTGACTGCACATCACAACAAGAACATTCGCCAGGTCTTTTCTCTTACTGAACTGCTGGTATGTTTGAATTAGTCATCTCTTGGTTAGATGCTAGTTAGCAGTTGAGCCAGCTCTTAACCATGGGAGCAATAGGGTCCTTTTTGCCACGAGATCAAAACCGAAACCCATCAAGTCCATTACTACCCACAGCAATCTTAAAGGACAGAGTAGAACTTCCCCTTTTGGGTTTCTGAGACTTTAAATCTGAACAGGAGTAGACAGTCTCATCTTTCTTCTACTGAGTGACTGGAAGGTCC